TTCCCTGTAATAGCACATGGAGACAAACCAAATTTCCTTGAAGAGTTAGCACTGGCTATGTAAAAAGCAGGGTACATTTTAAAAAGTACAGCTATAAAAACTGGCAGGAATAGATGTGCTTTACCACGAGGCACCTAGAGGGGTGAGGATACCTGCTCCTGTACAAGCAAACATCCCCAAATGTAACCAACCTCCAGGATATTATCACTGAGATGATTCTTCCTGTTCCTTCTGTCCCTCTCCTCTACCAATTACCTTCACAGAGGGTATTATAGCAGTAATCTCATTACAGCTGGGTAATCATGCTATGGCAGAAAGCGTGGGCTTCAGCCTGGGAGAGACTCCTGTTTTACACAACAGACCCCTCCCCACACACACACAGAGGGCATCATAACCAGCTGCCTACTCCTTGTTGGCACCATCCAAATTACTCTGGATGAATGAAGCCCAATCTACAAAAGGTCTCTTTGTTGCGGTCGTGCCTTTCAAACTCCCCAAGTGTAAGACTCTGCCCTAGAACACTGGTGGTTTCTTTACACAGTGCCTGAAATAACAGCTAAGAAGAATCAGTGCAATTCAATCTTAAAATGAATGACTCATATGGCAATTTAATAGTTGGTTCTCCAATAATTATTTGAGTATCTATAATTAATTAAATATCAAATATAATAAAAAGGAAATGCTAATAGTTTAGCATAACAGGAAAGAGACTTACTTCTGCAATTTTCAGAGGCAGAGAGGTTTCAAACATCTGAAGCTTTTCCCAGTAGGAAACCAGCAACTGAAGAACATCACAAGCTGCCTGAGCCACGATTTTGTTAGGAAACTATGAAAAGAAACAAAACCCCAAACTAAATAACCTAACTTAACATGTACATTATTCCTAAAGAAGAACAAAACAATTATTTCTTTCCAGCTCCATTTAGAGATACCATTCCTTGTTTCGCATTAAATTTGTGAAAAATGTGTCCTATTATCAGATCATCATTCTATAAATGCCTCTTGTCTAGACCAGCTGTATTAATTTATATAACATTCTATAGAGACAAGCAGCTATCATTTAATCATTTGGAAATTAAAACCATAATTTCAAATGTCTTATTAAGATAACATAAATCATGTTTTGACTATTAGAGAAAATTAAAATGCAGTGCATTATTGACTGTCCCCTGTGTGCTGAACCTTTTACAAGACTTTTACTCATTTTAGTACTGAAAAATCCTCATTAACAGCTCTGTAAGTCAGATGCTATCTTCATTTCACACATAGAGACACCGGGATTGATCAAATGACTTTTTATCCTAGGAAATTAAACTTAAGCAACATGTGTAACATAAGTGTGTGAAAAACTTGGGACTATGAGACCATGATTCACAAATTATGGTATGTTCAATTACTTTGCGTATGTTTTCTGAGCCTGTGTGTGTCCGAGGTCCTCTGGTTGCTTTCATTTCTTGTGAGATGGCATGTCAAAGGGGCAGCACCTGCAAGGACTGACTGTTGAGCATGTATGAAAAAGAGGAGGGAGGGTATCTTGTGCTTCTCTCCCTGGCCAGAACCTGGGGCTACACTGCTATCCATATCTTATTATTTGGGGCAGAAAAGTTTGTAACTGATTCTGTGTCCCTGTCTAGGGAAACTTCTAGTTATGTATCTTAGTTATTTCCACACCAGGAGCTCCAAGTCACATGAAGCAGACACCAGTTGACTTGGGTACCACACAACACAGAAAAGCTAACATTTAGCATCTCAGTGACTAATGCAGAAGGTAAGGAAGAAGGTAAGGGAAAAGTGACTAAATTTAATTCTACAGAATAGTTACTGACTACCCCTTCCTGACAGATGCAAACCCAGAGATATAGCATCTGCACCCAGAGGGCTCTTCACAGCCTCCTCCGGCCATCCAGGCCTCAGATGACCTTCATCCGTCTAACACTCTGGCTTGTTTCTGCCTTAGGGAATTTATATCTGCTCCTTGTTTGCCTGGGGCACTCATTCTCCAGATTTCTATGTGGCTGATGCAGCCACATCTTTTAGATCATGGCACTAAATGTCATTGCCTCCTCAATGCCTCCATATCCACCCAAAGAAGGGTCGACTCGCCCCCTCCAGCTCTTCAGTTTCATCCTGTTCCTGTTACAGTTCCTTTGTGGTGTTAAGGGCTGTTAGAGATGATCTTTTGTGTTTGTCTGCTTGCTATTTTGTGTTTATTTTCTTGCATTTTGTTCATCATTATATTCCTAATGCCTAGCACAGCTCCCTGAGGAGAAATGCATGGTGTGTTTGAGGTAACGATGGAACATGGAGGGAGTGGAAAAAGATGAGTGGGCACTGGGTGTGTTTTTGCTGCATCATGGTGGTCAAGTCACAGGGTAGAAACAAAGATGGCATGGCTCTTACATCTAGAAACTGAAAACAGACAAGAGGGCAATGAAAAAATGAGAGCTATGGCAGACAAGAAAAAAGCGCTAGGGGTAGAGAGGGATGAGGCCTGAGGTAGAGGGGGACAGAGAAGGCATTGTGGAGGGAGGGGAAAGGTGAGCTGAGCCTGGAAAAATGCAGAGGGAGCGTGTTTCCTTTGAGGCAGTGGACAGCAGGGCACAGGCACTGAGGGCTGCAAGTGCAGTAGTATTACTGACACACAGAGTGCTGTGGAGAATGGTGGGGATGAAATAAAACACTCACTCAACTCACTCACTCACTCACTCACTCAACTCACTCACCCACTCACCCAGTACGTATTCATTGAGTACTGACAGTGTGCCAGCCCTGAATTAAAAGCATAAGGTACAAGATAAACAGGGTAGATAGAGTTTGTAGTCTGAAGAAACTGACAGCCTCATGGAGCAGGCAGGGATCCACTTCTGTATATCTCCAAAGACCATGCCCGATATGCTAGTCTGTGGTCATGTGGTCAGGCCTGTGTATAGACTGATCTCTCCGGCAGCAGCATGGAGGGCAGATCTGTTGTCCCTGGAACTAGGACTTCTGTCCATGAGTTTTCCTCTGTTATTCAAAATAGTTAAAGGGAGACTGCTTTGGCTGATCCTAGCCCTCCAATTTCTTAGCAATTCAAGCTGGAGCAAGTTCCTTTGTTTCCTTAATCACCCTTTTATTTCTAAAATAGAAGGAGCAGCAGCACACATAGAGCTGAAGGAATGCAACAGGACAGTCCATGCTCTGCTGGGACACCCTGATTGAGTAAGAACTCAATACATGGCAGATACATTTTTTTTCTGGTGACTTAAGTTTTTCCTCACAAGTAGAGAAAAATTACAGATATTTTTGAAACTTTGTAGAAATACTAAGAAAAAAATATAAGCCCTCGTATCCTTCTCATTATCGATTTCCATCTTTCTTCCGTATTACATAGAACCATACATGGTAGAAGGCTAGATATATAGATGTAGATATATATATACATCTCTTTCATTCCAAGATACCATCAAATTATTTACAGCTTTTCTAAGAAAGGGATGGGGTGGGGGAACCATATTACATTTCTACATTTAAGAAAAATTAAAATTTGAAAAACATCTTAAAATAAAAAAAAATAAGATTAAAAATGAACTGGAATCTACACAGATTTACAACTGATATCCAGCTTTTTTCACTTGGGAGTCAGGGGGACTGTCTTGCACACCACGATTGTGCAAAATCCCAGACATGGGACCAGAGAATGTCCTGTGTTTGACCCTGGCAAGCTCCTTCATTCCCAATAAGCTCATTTTCCTCATCTGTGAAACAGAGGAAGCAATAACCCTTCATCTCATATGGTAGTTCTAAGGATTAAATATAATGACGAAGGTCAGGGGTCAGCACCCTGCTCAGGCCAGAGGGAGCACTCCTAAGTGATATCTTGGTTTGATCAATTTCCCATTCCTCTCCACAGGGATCCTCAGCAAGCATTTTCCCAGCTCTCATGATACAACTGGCAACCCCAAATGTGAAGGAGAGAAGGGGGCCAGAGGGCACAGAAGGCTTTGAGTTTGGTCAGGAAGAGGGATGAGTGAGGAGAGCTGCCATGAAATCAGCCTGCAAAGGAAGGCAGGCTGTAAAGGAAGGCTGGATGTTCACCCACAGGCAGGGGACACCCCTAGTTAATTATCCTGTGGGTTCACACACGAAGGGTTGCACAGGGGCTGTTCGATGGCTGCATGTTGACTATTTCAAGTGTCAGCTGCAATGGCTGTTACAATTATAGCCCCTGTGGCAGGCAGCAGAGAAGGGCAAGCAAGAGCCTGGACACTGGTGTCGGATGGATAGTTCAAGATTTGGACTTTGGCTTGGCCAGGTTGTTGCTCTAGAGCCCAGAACAAGTTCCTTAACTCTCCTGCACCTTATTCCTCCACTATAAAATGAGACAATCACCTAGTAACTAAGAACTTCCACAAACCCTCAGAACAGTGCCTGGCAGGGGCTAGGCACTCACTGGTTCTGGAGGGGAACTAGTAGCAATGCTTAATTATTATCACCATTTTCTAAGCAGGAGCCAGGAAAGAACTCAGCTGGATTTGAGCTCTGGTTTAGGAAGTGGCATAAGAGCACATATAAAAGTTGAGTTTTGCCTTTTATGTCACACAGATCTGCTCTCAGTGCTGATTGCATCACGTATGTCTGCATGGCAGTAGGCTCCTGACCTGATTTCTCTGGACCTTTCTGTCCTCTGCTGTGACAAAGGTATTGTAACATTTACCTTGCAGAGCTGTTGTGAAGCTTAACAAAAGTATTTAGAGACTTTACCATGAATCTGACCCAGCGTGAATGCCCAGTAAATGTCAGCTCTTCTCATTAACAAAGCAAAGGAAGAAAGACACCCTATATGTGCTCAAGGCCCAGCTGAACAGTGAGCACTCAGGGCCACTAACCAGGGCTGTCAGTTCTCTTTGT